TTTTTTTCTAGTTGAGCTCTCGTGTGTTCTTTTATTTCTTGTTCTTGCTTTTTTACTTGGTGTAGTGAATATGTGTCATATGTTCTTGTGATTCTCTGTTTCTGTAAGAATGATTTTGTTTTTGTTGCCCATTTGCACAAGAAAAGCTGTTATTCAGTTTAATGGAGGGAGAGATAATGATTGATTTGTTCACAAACTCAGATTTTTGCCAGATGAAATTAATTATAAGATATAATGAAACCAATTTACTTATCAAGAAATCAATTTAGTGCTTTCCTATACAGAAGCTGTACCTTTGTGATGATTTATTATTTTAACAAGTTTTTGCCCTTTTTCTATATCTTGTTCCCTGTTATTCCCCATGTATTGTGGCTTGTTTTTTCAATTCAAGTACCTTCTACGTGCCATATCATGTCGTTCATAATCGTCCTTTACTCGTGATGATCATATGTTTAATCTTTGGCTCCATAACATTGTCTTGCAGCCAAGAGTTGATGTCCTAATGGAGTCTAAAGGTGGGAAAAAGAAGTCCAGTAGTAAATCCTTAGTCTATGAAGCTCCCTTAGGTTACAGCATTGAGGACGTTCGACCCAATGGCGGCATCAAGAAGTTCAGATCTGCTGCATACTCCAACGTATGTCCCCCGTTTATGAAATATCTATCGACTTTTATTCGCTTTCTTATTTCGCATCTCTTTGATTGATATTATCGTTCTATATTGATGCTGAATTTATTTTTTTCGTTCTTTTGCAGTGTGCCCGCAAGCCATCCTGACACTCTTTTACCGTAGTCCTAATTTATTTTATCTGAGTTTGCAATTTTCAGCCTAAATTAAATCCCTTGTTTGTTCATTTCCCCATCTGCCTTTTTGTTGGCTCCTAGCCTTGTTATTGCTTCTGTTTTTCTTTCTCGCACCAAAAAAAAAAAAAAATGCCTTCGTCCGTCTCGTCAATTGGGTTTGAAGGTTTCGAAAAAAGGCTCGAAATCACTTTTTCTGGGCCGGGCTCCGAACGTGAGGGCCTACGGTTGCTCTCCCGAGCCCAGCTGGACGAAATCTTAAAACCCGAGTGCACCATAGTAGCTTCCTTATCAAACGAGCACGTCGACTCGTACGTTCTTTCCGAGTCGAGCCTCTTTGTATTTTCTCATAAGATTATCATCAAAACATGTGGGACCACAAAGCTGCTCCTCTCCATCTCCCCCATACTGAAATTGGCCGAGAGTCTCTCCCTCGAGACTCGAGCTGTGAAATACACGCGCGGGAGCTTTATTTTCCCCGGAGCCCAGCCATATCCCCACCGTAAATTTTCCGATGAAGTTGAAATTCTCGACCGGCACTTTCGCCAGCTTGGCCCGGATGGCTCGAAAGCTTATGTCATAGGCGGTTTTGAAAGTCGACGTAAATGGCACGTCTACACTTCGTGTGCCGATTCTTTCAAACCAGAGAACGGGGTTTTTTGCTCATTAGAGATGTGCATGACTGGTCTGGATAGAGAAAAGGCTTTGGTTTTTTACAAGAATCAATCGAGCTCCGCCACCTGGATGACTAACGAGTCGGGCATAAGAAAAATTCTCCCGGGATCAAATATATGCGATTTCGAGTTCGACCCGTGTGGTTACTCGATGAACTCGATCGAAGGGCCAGCTGTCTCGACTATCCATGTTACCCCAGAAGAGGAATTTAGTTACGCGAGCTTTGAGGCCACGGGCTATGATTTGAGTGGCGGTGGTTTGGGTTTGGTGGTTGGGAGGGTTTTGGATTGTTTTCGGCCGAAGGAGTTCTCTTTGGCGGTGCATGTGGGCTCTTCTGATGTTGGTCTGTCTGAGGATGTTTATGGGCTGGGCCTGAGAGGTTACTCGTTGAACGAGAGGAGCTTTGACGAGATAGGGATCGGTGGGCCTATCATGTGGCTGAAGTTTGTTCGGAATGCATCGTGTGGTTATCGTTTGCCCGTTTTGAGATCTTGCCTTTAGAGGTTTATCCCATTCTCTCTACCATTTGTGTTTTTAGGACTCTGTCCTGGATCTGTTTGGTTTTGTTTGAATTTGAGAAGATTGTGTTTTGCAATAAAACCACTTTTTATCAAGAATTTGTTCATTAGTAGTTTAGTTATTCTTCAGTTTCATATATGTTACATTCATTGCTTGCTTAATTTACATGGGGAGTACAATAATGAGTTGAAGTGTGTTTGTGCATATGATCCAATGGTTCAAAAATCTACCCACATATGATCCAACGGTTCAAAACACTTACCACAAAATTTTCCCCCACTTTTTGTCCTTTCTTGGCTTAATACGTCTCTTTCATGGGTTTTTGTCATTGAACAAACTATTTATGCACAACATGACAAGTTTTGGCAATGGTCTAATCAATAGATTCATGAATTAATCAAAAAGAGAATTGAGAGAATAATAAGAGCCCACAATTTCCACTCCCAAATTATAGTTTTCCCTCAATCAATTTCAGTTCATACTTAAAGAAGAAAAGGCCCCCACAACACTACAAAAATTTTGCTTAACAACCCTTCAAGTCTATAACTTCAATTTAAGAACAAAAGTTCCTTAAAACCTCAGAACCACAGGCCCGGGCGACCCGTGCAGAAAGTCTAAAATTCCCGAATCAGAAGGGGCATCGTTGCAAAAAAACAAGTGTGGGATTTTATAAGGACATGAGAAAAAAAAAAAAACAGAGCTTCAGTGTCAAAAAATGTTTGTTTCGAGCGATAACTCTCTCAAGTCCGGGACAAAAAGGCTTTGATCAAACAAATTCCCAAACCACCGAAAGCCAAAGATGCTAGGATCACGGCAGCTTTATTTTGATCGTTTTCGGAAGTTTCACTTCTCGTTTGTTTTCTGTCACGATCTGTTTTTTCGCCCATATTTTCTCGTAAAAGATTGCTTAGATTGTCGAGCTGATGCATGATTTGGCGTTGACCCCGTGAAATATTGGACAGCTGTCAGAGAAAGAATTAGAGACAAATCAGCAAAGTTCAAAGATACACTTAGAAGTTAAGACTACAAAAATAATAACACAAATTACAGTAAAAAAAATCAGCTACATTAAAAAATCTGCTAATCTTCTGCAGTTGAAGCAGTTAAGAATTCAAAAACATTCAAACCAATAAATGCTAAAGAAAAATATACCTCTTCCATCAAAGGAGACTCTTTTGCTAACTGGGAAGAAGACAACGAGTTAGGCATCATGGGCTTGGGCCCAGTTAAAGACCCATTTCCCAAGCCCGATATGAAGTAAGATGTTGGGGCTGACCCGTTACACGTCTCGGCTGGTAGTGCTATGTTTTGTGCACTTGGTGAAACTTTTCTACTTGATAATTTGGTATTTAACTCCTCAATACGGGAGGTGAAATCATCCATTCGGTCATTTAGAGTGGAAATTTGTTCCGAGAGTTGCGTGACAGAGCCCTGAAAAGCATTTTCCCAAAAAGAGAAGATCGAAAAAAAAAGTTACAAAATTTTATAATGTAAGAAAAGGGAATTTTTGGGTTTGTAAAAGTGGGTAGAATCTTTACCTGATTTCCTAATGTTGCCGGTAAGTCTGGTGATCTATTCTCGAACCTCCGGTTCACCTTTGATAGGTTCTTGTCCCGGTTTGTCGAATATGAATGCGACATTCCACTGTCCCGAAAATATACATATATATCAGATAAAGTTTGAGAATAATTGAAATATTGAATCCACCATTTAATAAAATCGAGAAAAAGTAACTAGATTACAAGGGATATTAGAAAAAAAAAAAAAAAGGACATGGAAGTTATTTCACCTCGAATATCATTTTCTGCTGGCGATCATTTGAAATTACTTTAAAGGTTACTTACAAAGATTACACTTCACAATTAGCCTGTGTGTGTTTTTGTGTGTATTTCTTTTACAAGGTTGCACCTTCTATGATTCTTGAATCGTGCTGCCGAGGCCCGAGACAGTGCTTCCTTTGGGCTCGACACGAAGTCGTCATCTATGCTAAGCTTCGTTTTCAAATCATCAGGCAATGCCTATAAAATTATCCAATCAGAAACTAGCATACACTAGAAAAATAATTTAAAAAAAAAAAAGAAAGAAAGAAAAAAGAAAAACATACCATAACTTCATTCACAAGTTTCTCCAGCTGTATTTGTTCGATATAAGTTCTCGGGACATACGAACCATCCAACCCCAGTTGTTCCGCAACATGTTTTACAACAAGCCGGTCTCTACCTTGTACCTATAAGTTGCCACATACAACACAAATAATCAACAAAGAAAACATAGAAGTTAATTTAATAATAATATTATAGAAGGAAAATTGCAAATAAAATAAAATAAAAATGCATCACCTGAACATAGTGACGGTTTAACTGCTCGAGCCAGTCAATTTTCACACAGACCTTATCATCAGAAAAGACATGGCTGCTTCTTTTAAGTATTGCAGCTATCGTGTAACCCAAGGCCATTAGTCCGCCTAGGAGCCGAACACTTACTTCGAAAGTTATTCTTGGAGATATCACAAATGGAGGATCGGTTACCCATTCCTAAACATATACAAGCACACTAGCTTTTAGGGAAAAAAATGGAAAAACATGAGAGAAAGAGAGAGAGAGAGAGAGTTTCCAAGTTTATAAAATGAAATTGACAAGATCTCTCTCTCTAGAGAGAGAGAGAGAGAGAGAGAGAGAGAGGAGACAGAGAGAGTTTCCAAGTTTATAAAATGAACTTGACAAGACCTCCCTAGGCAAAGAGAGAGGGGGAGAGAATTTGCAAGTTAAAAAAAAATTAAACTTTTGCACGATATTTCCTTGTGTTGTAGTCTTGTAGACAGATTTAGCCACCAAATTTCAGCAGTGATTAGGGTCTCAGACACTAACCTCGAACATGAGATTGTATTTTCCATCCTTATTACGCATCCTAAGATACGACTGGCAAGTCTCCGGATCCTCGCCAGGTGGCAGAAGATATATGTCATAAGTTTGTTCCGTATGTTCCACATGTTCTTCAGACATCAAAGTCTTGATTTGCTCGACATCTACATTCCTCAGTGACTAGACAAAGCAAGAGTACCGTACAGTTAAAGTAATTAAACTGTAAATCTTATAACTGAAGCATGAATTTTTATTATCATACATAGGTTCAAAAGTCACCTTGAGTATATAAGTAGGACACTGAAATCCAGTAAAGGGATTAAATTTGTTGATAATCTTTATATGAGCCGTCCGGAGGTCAGGCTCGATAAAAGCCTTATACATTGGGTACACCTACAGAAGAAAGTCCAACTCAGAACCTCCGGAAAAAGAACATTAGGCAGAATTTAACGTTGTATTATTAAGTGTACAAATTAAGAATACAAACTGTTTCAGATATTTGGTGTATAATTTCTTCAGGTTCCTGTCCGGCACGCTGTATATCGCGCAAAACCCGTTTGACGAGATCGAAATGAACGCCACCTGTTACAGATACCCTAAGATCGAGCAAAGGCCGAAGCTGTTCGCTTAAGGCATAGATTCCCTCGATAATCACGATGCGGGAGCTCGGGACTTCAAGTGTCCTGTCATCAAAAGAAAGCATTTTGACAAAGATTTTGCGGTCAAATAAAGGAAAGGAATTATGTTAACCAAAAAAACAAAAAAAAGAAAAGAAAAAACTGCATATCATGATGATATGAGACATAGTTATTTGAGTTGGCCAAGGGCATAAGAATTCATAACGAAAACAAGATTTAAGTGGGGAAAAGGAAAAATGGAACAAATTAATAAAATGATTCGAACCTGTATCCTGTTCGGGAGCTAGATTTGAAATCATAAACCGGGACAGAAACGGGCTTCCCTGCCTTCAAATCACGAATGTTTTCCAACAAAGTGTCGTAGTCTGTCAAGCGAGGATCTGTTTACATGATAGTGTATTAGCAAAAAATGTTAGTGTATCTAGAAAAAAAAAAATATAAATATAAATGCGTCTGGTAAGCTTAATGAGTTCACAACTCTATCTGAAAGGGGGAAAAAAAGTTGATTAAAAAATGACTAGGACCTTTTTAGCTATATGTGTGTGTAAATACAAAATTCGTTGGCCAAAAAGAAGAATATGTTCTTAAGGTTGCTTTAACAAGGAGAGGGCTTAGGTTCAAGAAGGGAAAAGATTGTAGCCAAAACTTCTCATTTATAAGTTTTCGTTTATAAATTGATTAGTTGACATAATAATTTTCATAGTTTGATCAACTGCACCATCAGAAAGTTTCATCTTTTAACTCAGAACCCATCACTATATTACATATTTACAGTAAGAAAATCAGTCATCTCCATATAAAAAAATGCTCTGCAAGTAAAAATTCCATAAATTTTTACCACCTACAGTATATATTTGCCAACTAAAACAAACATCTTCAAATATCAACGTCACATCAAGACTCACGAAAAAAAGACGATAAAAACGAAAATAAAAAATAAAGTGAAAGGACAGAACACATCTATAAACAGCTCCTATAGCAAAACCATCAGAAAAAGAGAATAACAACCTAAATGCAAACATTCAGAAATATAGGTTCTTGATGCATTAGAACCAAAATATCATACCATCAAAGTTCCCATCGATTATTCGACTTGCATCATTGTAGTTGTCCATTGAAATAACAGCAATGCTCGGCATAAAATTAAGCATTTTCTCGGTAAAAACGGTCTTCCCAGCGCCCGATGGGCCAGCTACACCTATCAGTAATAACCCCTCGTTTTTCTGTGACAATAACTGGCATGCACGAACCACGACAAAGAAGCCTTTCTCGAAAGACAAATTATCAGGAATTGGGGCAATCTCATAGCGGTCAGTATCCTTCCTTTTGACCAATTTAACTTGATCTTTCAAAAGTCCCGATTTTCGGTACCCAAGCTCGTCGTAATAAGGATCTTTACCCATTTCTACTATTACTATTCTTGAGTTTCCTTCTGTAAAGAATATGAATGAAGAGTAAAATGATTATGTTTAACCACAAAAGAAAATTTATAGGATCATAGCACAAAACACTTGGATACTATAACAAACAAGACTGTCTAAGAAAAGAGAATTATTTGTTCAGAAAAAATAGTTTGCAAATAATAGTTGGCTCGACCGAGAAGCAAGAATTGCAGAAAATTGTTCTTGAGCTACACATTAATAACAAACAGTTAATAAAATCAGAGTAACAAACAGAAACAGTTCAAAAATGTGCTAGCTAATGAAGTAGCCTCCAAGCCCAGTCCTCACTTAAAGATTTCAGTTCACTATCTATTAAAGCAAACCCCACAGACGTCGTTTCACATACAAATTCACAAATTCTAGTTTTAACTGCTAACCACCCAAAATGGAGTCCTGTTAGAACCATCATGGGCAACAAAGCCTACATGAAAAGGAAAAATTAAAAGAGAAGATTATGAAAGCAACACAACAAAATAAGCTAATTGAACCCAAAATACCATTTGACCAACATCCCAAAACAACTCACATCATGCTGCCAACTTCAACCAACCAAGTAATTGCAGCCTCTAACTCTTTTTATCTTTTCTTTTCTTTTTTACCTTTTAATTATACAACAAGTTCAGAGAGTGGGGATTGGTGGGACCCGTTCCCGGGCCAATAGCCGGGGTCGGTCGACATTGATTCCAACTGAGTTACAAGTCCAAAATTTAGGCTCTTAAGCAACTCCAACATCCACACACCAAAAATGTACAGACACGAATAATCACAAAAACTTACAAAAGACCACATTTTTACACAATCCTTACACCCAATACTGAACCCATTCGATACTTATACAGCAAAGGAAACATAATAAATATGATCGACATTACAAGAATACAAAAAGTACAAACAAACATAAACATACCCAGATTAAAAAGCACAGCCCTTTTGCGCACGGAAACAAGTTCTTGGTTTTTTTTGGATCTAGAAAACAATACTAACCCAATAAAGGCAACCCTTTTCCGATAACAAATCAACAAAAAAGAGCACCCAGCTCGCTTAAAAGGAGATGCGAGAAGAAAAGGAATGTATCTGATTACACAAATCATATCACTCAGCAAAACTAAAAAAATTAAAAAAGGGACAAATAAAAAAGAGAGAAAAAACACTGACCTTTTCTACTGATACTCTGTTTTTCGGTTGCTGGGGTTCAGCAATTGAGAAGCAAAGGGAAGAAGCTTTTGTGCATTATTGCTATACGGGTCCCTTTTTTTTTCCTTTTCTTGATTTTTGTGTGTTTTTTTTTCAATTTATTTACTGAAGACAAGATCGATAGCTATATAAAGGGATTTTTATTTTATTTTATTTTATTTAATTTGTTCTGAGTACTTTTTGAGAACTGCGAATTCTTGAGAGTAATCGCCACGAATATCGAAGACCGCAAACTCATATATATAGTCGTGTGCCTGTGTTTGCATTTCATCTTATTGGGCTTCTTTTCAAATTTCCTGTTCTGTCCTGTTTTCTTTCTTTTTCTTTGTTAATTTTCAAAATTATGAATTTTTCAACTAGCTATTGTGAATTTTTAATTTAGGTCAATTACTCTACCAACATTTTTTCTTCTTTTTGAATTTGTTTTTTTCTTTAATATTTTAATTTAATATTTTATAGATGGGCTCGATAATTAGACGTGTCAATAAATAAGTTCGAGTCCAACTTGCTTACCAATTTTAATAGATAGACTCCTTGTTTTTTCAAACGATAGACTTGCATAAATACAAACACATAATTACAGACAGATAGAACAACCGGAAAAAATAGCTACACAGCTGGAAGCCTCGAACATGTAGGAGGACAACCTGAGGGGATGTCTAGGCTAATACAACATGGCCACAATTATACCCACAAGCTCCCAACATTAGAATAAGCATCACAAAAAATGCAGAAAACACTACAGACACAAAGAAAAATACTAGAATAAACCTCACCAGCTGACCGCAACCCCATACCCTAAGGCAGTGGCACCGAGCACGAATAAGAAACTTCTGACCAAAGCAGGCTAACCAGAACCCGCCTGAATACCAACAAACCCTTCCAAAGGCAAAAACCTCCAGAAAACTCGGATTTCTCACAACAATCCCTCACCCCCCCCAACACACAACCGAAGCCAGTGGCTACCGCAACCGATGTAGCCCATCAATCCCAACACCAGAGATCGGCCGAACTCGGGCACGAGTTTGCTGCCAAAACCAGCCCCAAACTATTGCCAACGCTGCACTCAGAGCCGACAACCTAGAGAGAAACCAACGACTCGTCGGACACCCCCTCCCCACTGCCGTGGCCACCAGGATCTCGGAGAGACCCCACACCAGAAGAGAGTCTTTCAAGATACCAGCCCACCCACATCCGACCCGAATCGGGTGGAGATTGTCGGGAAACCTCTGGCAGGAGGGCGCCACTAAAGAGAAAACCACCAACCAAGAAGATGAAAATGAGGATTTAGAGATTGGGTTTTTTCGCCGTTGGGAAGATTAGGTTGGTTTAAACAAGTTGAGTTGTTATGTGGGATATTACATCATCGGTTAAAGTACCTACAGATTATTCTAATGAGGGCACGTGGCTTAATGATCGAGCAGATGGATAGTCGATCAGAGGCTGAGGAATGGGTCAACGGAGTAGTAAGGCGCTACGACATTCTATGAAAAGCAGTTCAGTGATCCCCAACATGGGGGAAACGTGGCCAAGGCGGTTACGACGTGGGGCAATCCATTACCCATGAAAACAGATATAAAGAGGTAACGACATGAGGGAGAGAGGTACGCGACTTATAATTTTTCACCAATCATACAAAACCGAAACAGAGACTAACTTAGGCATCGGAGGGCCAAGCCGGAGATACCTTCCCTCCGGCACTGGCTTTTTTGCAGGCACTCAGGACAATTAACCGGCGTGGAGATGAGATCGCAAAAGGTCCAACCGGTTCGAGGTAACATTTGATACCAAGTTGTAAATATTTAACGAGGTAGACTCGAGTATTAATGAGTTGAGCTCGAGACTTACCTAACCGAGTTATAAAAAAATACATAAGTACTTCTATTTTGGAACCTTAAAGAGTTGATCTCAGCTCAACTCATAAACTGAACGAGCTTTAAACAAACTCGAGACGAACCCAACGCATGAGTAGTTACCTTCGGTTAACAACTTTCATATAGCTGCCAAAATATATTTATTTTTATAATAACAAAAATATTGTTAATTGTTCTTTTTTTTTTTT